TTTTTTACACAATCACTCCTGAACTTTGCCTTGTTTATTCTAGGCTTTTTTAGATCTCAAATTTGCAAATTCTTTTTTGAGTAGACTTTTTTATTTCTGTTGCCGTCTATTTCTCAATCTGAATTGTATGCAATTTCCCGTCAACTATCAAAATAACTGAAATTAATCGAAAGAAATCGCGGAATTTTTTACTTTGAAATTTCCAGTTAAACACTCAAGTTAACAGCAAAAGTTAGCAACTATTTTAAGTGCAGAACAAAGTTCTTTTCTTCTTTATATACAGCTACTAAAATCTTTTTTAAGCCAGGTATTGAGAGAAGTCTGATTGATAAAAACTGTAAAAAATGGTTATTTTGGTTGACAATTTAAAATTAAAAAAGTAAGCATTGTAACTGCGTGATTCTTGGTCAAGGTTCAAAAAAATTTGTGCAAAAAAGGAAAAAAAAACTGGATAAGCAGATTAAAAAATCATTTTTTGAAAATCACCTGAGAAATGCCGACAAAGCTGTACTAATGAACTGTAGTCAAAGTCATGCAAGAATAATATTTTACGGAAAAGTTTGCATAAAGCACCATATGCTTTGAACCAAAAACTACGAAATTTCTAGCATTTTTTAACCTATAACTGTTCCTACTATCCTGACGGACCACTAGGCAAAGCTTCATAAGTATTTGTTGGAGTTTAATAATTATAGTAACTGTACAGCCAAAAAATACTCTTTTCTTGTAATCTCGTAGTAACTGCATTGTTTAATTAAAAAAATGTAATTTTTCAAAAATTTACTCATTAATTACTTTTTTCTACTTTTTTTATTTTTTTTTTTCTACTTTTTTTATTCACACAAAAAATTCTTGTTTAGCTCTGATTTTAAAAAAGAAAAAAGCAAAGTAATTTTTTTTTGAACTTTAGACGTTCCAGACAACAGCCTTTACCTGTGCATTTGTACTCTTGATTCACTGGTTTATTTTTCATAATTTCAAGGTATCATCGAGCAGCTATTTATAGTTACCTTTTGTTTCAATTTTTTTCTGAAGGCTCCTTCTCAAAGATAAAATTGCTTCTGAACAATCTTCATGTGACAAGCAAACAAACCATTTGATAAAACTTTCGAAACTAAACTTTACAACCACATCAGTCAAATCTAGAGGTTAACAGCAACTGTATACCTGTAGAAAAGTGTAAGTAGCCGCAGCTGAGTACCTGATACATCTGTCTGTAAAA